TCCTTACCGAACGATGTTAGCTGACATAAACATATGTAGTTTTTGACTGCTGGGGTTTGAGACATGTAGGCAGGCGTAGACCGTCTGATTGGGGGCCTAGAGACGCTCAAATCTAATACCTTGAGACTATGAGGGTTATTCAAACAGCAACCTGCTTCAATCAAGAGGCTACCTAAGTTTTCTGTGCATCAAGAAGCGTGTGTACTCCGATTCAAATATTTTAATCTTCTAATTACCACGACGAATAACAATGCATACTCGCACACTGTTTCAAATTTTTAATTTTCGTTAGGAGTTTTTCCAAGGAAATGGAAGAAGAACATTGTAGAGTAGCATAGCAGCACACTATGGATAGATTAGTATGGCTTCAAATAATATATTTTCGACTAATATATCATTTGGAGCTTCCTCTCAAGGGGTAAATACCTAGCAATGTGAATCGCTGAAAATTCAGTATTACATGTAAACGCATTTTTCAGAATAAAGACATCATTATATTATGGCTAAAAAGTGTTCTCAGTGGCGTAGTTGTATTCACCCTTCGTAATCTCCAAGATCCACAAAATCTTGATTATTCCCTATATACTTATTCTTATCTCCACCCTCCCCTTACACTTCTCTTCATTACAGTGCCTTTGCATTTTCTTCTGTTACAATTGTATGCCTTATAAAACCGTAGCTACTTGAACTACTGAACTTTTATGAGAAGTTATACTTAGAAAATTTAGTCACACTGGTAGGTAGCTTTCCGCATTCATCGTAGACATTTATTTCTTTGGCAATAAGAATTACACTTACCAGTTCTATGCATCACTTTTTATCGCATCTTTAAATATTTGAAATGAATATTTATGTATATAAAAAACAGAATAAGTGAGCAAAGAATATCCTTTTCGATAAATTCCTCTTCTGGATCTACAATTATACATATATGTGCATATACACAGAATATTCTAGAGTAGTAGTTGATAGGATCCCACATATTTTGGTATTGACTGTTTAATCTTGCATATATGGTATATTATCATTCTCACACATTTTGGTAGTGACCGTTAATTTTGTATATATGGTATATTATCATTCTCACACATTTTGGTAGTGACTGCTAATTTTGTATATATGGTATATTATCATTCCCACACATTTTGTTACTGACTGTCAACCTCGCACATATGGTATATTAGCATCTCTCACGCACTTTGTTATTGGCTATTAAGATAAATTATTTCAAGTGCTGTTAGCTGTCCATATTGTTGTAAAATGTATAAATACCATGGCTTTCTTTATCGTTGTTGCACTTCAATACACAGTCACAGTCCAGCCTTTGTCTTTTGATATTTGCGTGCTTTGCTAAGTCGGAAGGTACGACGAGCAGATAGGCAGATTAGTTCAGGCGCAGACAGAATAAGGTGAAAACGTCTTCATTCAACTCCCCACAGTTATAACAAATTGGCGACAGGGTTTTACCTTAATTCAGTGCAGTTATAACAGTAGTCAATAACAATATTAGTGTTTTTTTAAATAATATCGATTTGTGGAGTAAGATCAATGGAATTACAGTTCATTAAAGATGCTTAAATTATAATAATAATAATAATAATATAGTAGCAAATAGAATATCAACTAAAACTAAGGAAATTTCTACAACAACAAACTGAGGATCATTCGAACCTAGATGGCCTAATGGGTAAGAACGATGCCTGAACCAACTAGCTTCTTCTCGACATATAAATTATGCTCCTTAATGTGAATCCCAACAGCCAGCCTCAGCAATATTTAGTAAACGAACTCATTAGGCGAAGTTAAGACTTTTTAGTATGCGGTAAATGACTTTGAAAGCCGCCTCGTTGACATCAATCTTATGTTCGATATCCACAAGATGAGATAGAATAGCGCTACGAATAGATTTTGTTCTAAAATCCGACGAGAAACATGACGAACTGTACGGCCTATGTCATTGGCTCACTCCACAGGAGCAGTTAAAATAGTAGATACACACACATGGAAGAGGCGAAATTGGGCAGTTTATCTTTTACTACCGAACGCAAAATAGGGATGGTTTTGAAGATACAGCATAATTCAGCAGCATTGGATGCTCTTTTCACCACATTCCTTGGGCTGATGTTGTCCTCAAGGAAGTGAATTTGTAAGAATAAGGCCTTTTTAGGAACTGTTGATATCTTGGACTGTCTTGATTTCAGATTCATAGTCTTATCAATAAACTTTTCTGGATAACCATTTTCACTCAGCAGCTGTTTAATTTGACACTAGTGACTAGTGTGATGCGTCTAGTCCTCTGATTGGTGTAGACTGAATTCTATCAGGCAGGTTGTAATGTGACCACCATTCTGGCTAGCTCGCCATCACGGTGCACATTGATTTGATGGTATTAGATGGTTGGAGGCTGTTTAATTAATTATTAAGTTCGTCATCAAGACATTCACTCAAGCAGATTGCTGTTGTTCTGTAAACCAAACACTTTATCAGACTGCGTTTTTGTTTCAAGAGCACGAAGCTGAAAAAATGAGTATACTGACTGTCAGCTGATGTAGGTTTTCTATATACACTTTTTCTTATTGTGCCATCCTCTTTTCTGGTGAATATAGAACACAAGATTGATGTCAACGAAGCGGCAGGCTGGACGTTGGGATCCACATTAAGGAGCCTAATTTATATGTCCAGAAGAAGCTAGTTGGTTCAGGCATCGTCCTTACCCATTAGGCCATCTAGGTTCGAATGATCCTCAGTTTGTTGTTGTAGAAATTTCCTTAGTTTTAGTTGATATTCTATTCGAACCTAGATGGCCTAATGGGTAAGAACGATGCCTGAACCAACTAGCTTCTTCTCGACATATAAATTATGCTCCTTAATGTGAATCCCAACAGCCAGCCTCAGCAATATTTAGTAAACGAACTCATTAGGCGAAGTTAAGACTTTTTAGTATGCGGTAAATGACTTTGAAAGCCGCCTCGTTGACATCAATCTTATGTTCGATATCCACAAGATGAGATAGAATAGCGCTACGAATAGATTTTGTTCTAAAATCCGACGAGAAACATGACGAACTGTACGGCCTATGTCATTGGCTCACTCCACAGGAGCAGTTAAAATAGTAGATACACACACATGGAAGAGGCGAAATTGGGCAGTTTATCTTTTACTACCGAACGCAAAATAGGGATGGTTTTGAAGATACAGCATAATTCAGCAGCATTGGATGCTCTTTTCACCACATTCCTTGGGCTGATGTTGTCCTCAAGGAAGTGAATTTGTAAGAATAAGGCCTTTTTAGGAACTGTTGATATCTTGGACTGTCTTGATTTCAGATTCATAGTCTTATCAATAAACTTTTCTGGATAACCATTTTCACTCAGCAGCTGTTTAATTTGACACTAGTGACTAGTGTGATGCGTCTAGTCCTCTGATTGGTGTAGACTGAATTCTATCAGGCAGGTTGTAATGTGACCACCATTCTGGCTAGCTCGCCATCACGGTGCACATTGATTTGATGGTATTAGATGGTTGGAGGCTGTTTAATTAATTATTAAGTTCGTCATCAAGACATTCACTCAAGCAGATTGCTGTTGTTCTGTAAACCAAACACTTTATCAGACTGCGTTTTTGTTTCAAGAGCACGAAGCTGAAAAAATGAGTATACTGACTGTCAGCTGATGTAGGTTTTCTATATACACTTTTTCTTATTGTGCCATCCTCTTTTCTGGTGAATATAGAACACAAGATTGATGTCAACGAAGCGGCAGGCTGGACGTTGGGATCCACATTAAGGAGCCTAATTTATATGTCCAGAAGAAGCTAGTTGGTTCAGGCATCGTCCTTACCCATTAGGCCATCTAGGTTCGAATGATCCTCAGTTTGTTGTTGTAGAAATTTCCTTAGTTTTAGTTGATATTCTATTTGCTACTATATTTTTATTATTATTATAACTTAAGCATCTTTAATGAACTGTAATTCCATTGATCTTACTTTACAAATCGATATTATTTAAAAACACTAATGTTGTTATTGACTACTACTCTAGAATATTCTGTGTATATACACATATATGTATAATTGTATAACCAGAAGAGGAATTTATCGAAAAGGATATTCTTTGCTCACTTATTCTGTTTTTTATAGATGTCGGAATGAATATTTTCGCTATATTTATGCACATAACAGATTAGCAAACTTTGAAATGTGTCAATTGTTTTCAAGTATTGTTTTTTAGGAATTCGATTTGCTTGTAGTTTCATCACGGTTTCACATGAGTTAGAGAATAACTGAAAACCAGCTGGGAGTACTTAACAGACAGCTGTTTCGCCCTTGTCTCACACTTATCGCTAGTAATCACCTACTTAGGTTCAAACCCAAAATCTTCTGGTTAGAAGACAAGTTCGTAGGCTATTCATCCACTGGGATTCGACTCGATGTCTCATGAGTCCTTGCTCCTACCAATTCGTCTACCGATTGTCATATTTGTCCCATTTAAATTTATTCTCTCTTTCTTGTTTACTTACTCATGAGTAGTTAGATGAAATAAAGACAAAAAACATTTTCACTTGAAGAATCAATATTTGTTTCATTCAAAAAAAGAAAAAGAAATTAATTATAACACTTGTAACATTTATATACAAGTGAAAGTAATACAGTAAAAAATAATAATAATAACAATGATAATATATACTACTGAAAAAGGAAGAATATTCATAAACTGAAATTATTTATCAAGAGAAAAGTAAATACCACCACCATACAAGTTAAGTTTTCAAATGAAATTCATTCATGCTCAAAATGTCTTTATGTGCAGTATAAACGGTTGAATAAATTAATGTCTATGTTCACTTTAGTAAAGAATCTCTTTCCTTTAAAAGAGCCATTTGTGCATTTATACAAACTGAATGATATCACGTTTGTTCGCCATGCTTCTGTAAACTAAGATCCATACTCTGGTAGCCTAAGGACTTGACGTCTTCATCTAATATTTATCGGTTCTCATTAATTTATAAGTGTTCTTTTTTAACATGGTCGTCTGAAAATGCAGAATTGCTATCATTTGCAACATTACTGTTATTATTATTCATCAGATTTCTTCCATCATTCGATGAAGAAGAATTGGAATCATTACCATGATGCAGGCTGACATCAGAGCTGTTAGTTAAATTATCACCTTCTAACTTGATATCATTTCTTGTCTTCGCTTCACTTGTTGATCTTGTAGCAGTTCTGTGAAGGTAAAAGGATGCAAAGACAAGAACAAAAAATACATAAACAAGTGATTAAATATTAATTTTAGCAGACGGAAAAAAATAAAAGACGGATTCAGCGAAGAAAATTTTCTTTATCGACGAAATCATCTTCAGAGGCTGTATAGTCGTATTTATACATAGAAGAATGTATAGTGGTCTATTATTGAATAATAGGGAGTGACATAATTGCTGTAATTAATCATAAGTGGCTTTAGAGGTGAAAATTAAAAGTTGTAAATTACATGGTACTCAACGGAAAAAAGATAGAAGTTAGAAAAGGTTAAATCTGCTCTTGAGTGAGAATAAAGTTATTAGAGTGTCAATTTAACAAGTGTGAAGAGGGTGTGAAAATATATGAAATTGATAATAGTGAATTAATTATTAAAGCAAAAGCAAACTAAAAGTAAAATTAAAGATTAAGAACAAAATCAAAAATATTTTTTAACAGGGAAGGATAAGTGAAGAGGTTAAGACCAAGGTAGAATAAGAGACTGGACAAACTTTTTCTGTATACAGAGATCAGGGTTGTATTGATGTATTGCCAGCGCCTCCGCCATACACAAAAGCCGGAACCTGACGCCTTTTGTACAATTTGGCTTCACTTTGTAGATGATGTTGAAAGACGACTCTGGTGGAGCTACGTGGCCTGAGTTCACCAAATGCTCGAGAATTGAGCTAGTAATTGTCTTGTATTGTCCCTTTGCTAACCATGCCGGATAATGTTCAGAGATGCGTTTGGAAAGCGTGCGCTTTGTGCGGCCAATATAACTTGCTCCACACGAGCATGTGAATTTATAAACACACATTGAGGTGGCCCAAAGCGGCAGCTTATCCTTTATCCCTATTATTCAATAATAGACCACTATACATTCTTCTAAGTATAAATACGACTGTACAGCCTCTGAAGATGATTTCGTCGATAAAGAAAATTTTCTTTGCTGAATCCGTCTTTTATTTTCTTCATGACTCAATGGGTATTTTCCGTGATTTCAGACGGAAAAAGTTTAATCTTAAATGATAATATAATAACAGTATTAATAATTCTAGTATAATATAACGATGGGTACAGAGTTCGAGTCTTAATGAGACCACTACCGACACACATTGTGGATGAAGGCACATCCATTTGATGGGTACCAAAAATAAAAGGCGATCCTCGCCTTGGATTCCACTGCTAGTCACCACTAATCAAACATATTATTACTGTTATTGTTCTCTGTGGTCTCCGAGCGCTAAAGTACGGCGTCATCAACATATCATCTCTTTTTCCTATCTTCTAAGGTCCTCTTCACCCGGCCCCATGATCGCCCATAATCTCTCCTCTCCTCGTTACATGATCTCTTTGATGTCACCTTCAGAAACACGCCCAACTCGTCGTTTCCCACTCGGGTCCCACTCAAGCTATGGCTTTGCTCGCGAGATGTTATTCGACGGTTTCCTCAGTGATTTATATCCGATCTATCTCCATTTTCTTCGGTTTATTAATGGATCAATAGTGTTTACCAAAGATAAGACAATGTAAAACTTTCTATTCCTTAAGGAACACTATTATTTTAAATAATCTGTTCAATTAATAAGATTCATCTGAAAAGTTCATACAGTCTTTATGTCCTCATCATGAAGTCTATTTCCATGATATTACTGTGTTACTTCTTGAAGATTGCTACTAGTGAAGGTCTTGATTGGACACTAGTCAGTAACTAGTTTCATGCGTCTAGGCCTTTGTTTCGTGTAGACTGAATTCTATCAGTCAAATTTACTATGTGACCACAAACCATTCTAGGTGGCTCGTCATCAAGAGACATTCAGAACTATTGTTATTAGATAGGATATCACACTTCCTTGTAGTTCCATGTGGTAAATGCCAACAAGCGTGAAACCCGGTAAATTACCAGTGAAAGCATTCAATATTAGCCAAAACATTTACCCACTGACTTCTAATTTTAAAATGTGTACATTATGGCATCAGTTTGTCACGAAATATACCCTCCAGTAATTTCAGGCGGGGGGGGATCATAAACTACCTCTTTAATTACCATTATTGTAAGTATTCAGAGTGACACTATATGAAATCAAACATGTCATTTTTTCCAAACTCAACTGCAGGTTGATATCAGTTAGAGAATCACTAAAAAACCAAAAAATACTGAACAGGTGTTTCGTCCTAGTTCGAGGCCCATATACAGTATACACTCACTGGGTTTGGAAGCTAGAACTTTCTGATGACAAGACAAGCTAGTAGTAGACCATTCAGCCACTGGGACCTGATTCAATGGCCAGCCTATGAATTCTAACTTCGACCAACTTGTGAGTCCCAAAACTAGGAGGTTGAAACAGCTATCCAGTACTCCCTGAGCTGGTTTTCAATGGTTCTCTAAATTATACTAGTCATTCTGTGATTAAACTTGAAACAGGTCAAATTCCTACAAATTAACTCTTGAAAACATGTCATTTTTTACATGTTTGGACTGATGTAATGATCATGGTTTATCATAATGAGTCGGTGAACATCATTATAGTTACTGTTCTATTCATCGTAACAAAAATGAAGGTTACTCTACATAGAGGTGGCTATGAATCCCATTATTTTTTATTAGAACCTTTAAAGTGTGTAAATATTCTTAGATAGAAATATTTCAGGAGATAAGATAACCAGATAAACTCGTTTATTAGTTCATTCATACCGCTGAAATGTGGTTGTTTGGCTTAAATATTAGACTTTCAGTTAATGTGTTCATTAACGACCAAATCCGACTCATTGTGGTGTGAACCGATCTATGCATCCTAACGTATAGCTGTCTGGAACCTCTTTCAGAAACACAGTCACAAAATGCCCCGAAGACATCAAAAAGACTACAATTCGTCGATAAATTTGTGTGGTTCTATTCAACAATAAAAATAACTTCCAAGAGTTGGTTTGTAAGGGCTAGTTTTGTTTTTATGAGTTTGACCACGGATTGATATCAGTTAGGGGACCACTGAAAACCAGCTCAGGGATTAATGGGCAGCTGTTTCATCCCTCCTAAATTATGAATCATCGGCAGTACGCACAAACTGCTAGGGTTCAAACCCAGTACCTTTTGGTTACAAGGCAAGCTAGCTCGTATACCATTCAGCCCCTGGGACACAAAGCAAGAGAAGAAAGTAGAAGAAATGCGTAATAGAGACAGTAAACAGATGTGTGACGCAAAGGAATAGTAATAACGAAGAACAATATAATTTCATTGGAAATCATAAGTCTCAAGGAGTGGATGCATCTGCACCAGCCAGCCACTGAGAACGATTTTGAGCCATATCACCGATTGCTCCCAACCCGCATTGGTGTTTAACGTCCCGAGGACCCCAACCAGTCAGGAAGTCTACATCTTCCCACGTGATTGGCTTAAACTAACTGTTGTGGATTTCATTGACTGCTGAAGCCATGTTTTGGTTTGACAGCCGCTAGCTCCTTACCAGCCTGACCCTATGTCAGCTAACGCTGCCCATCGAGGAAGGCGATGGCTAGGAATGCATGGCGTAACACATGTCCTAACCATCTCAGTCGATGTAGTTTTACAGACTCTTCGATTGATTTCCTCTGCTTACCTAAGACTCGAACGAAGCCTAAGCTCAATATTGCTCACACTATTATGCCACTTAGCACGGGAGATATAACGCAAGCACCTATGATCAAAGACAGCCAGCCTTTTCATGTCTTCCACTCTCAGTGACCAAGTCTCACAGACATAGAAGAGGACGGAGCAGACCGCTGAGGAGTACACCCGCCCTTTGTTTGATAGCTCGATATCACATCTAAGTCAATGGCCCATGAATTCTAACTTCTACCAATTCTTGATTTAGCGCGACCATCAACCAATGTCATCGGTGAGAAATCCATCCTCACACTGAATGATATACGAGCTTGCTTGCTTGTGATCGGAAGTTCCTGGGTTCAAACCCTGACAGTAGGTGAGTGCTTCCGATGAATTCCAAACTGGGACGTAGCAAACAGCTGTCCAGTACTCCCTGTGGCTGGTTTTCAATGGTTCTCTAACTGGCATCAATCCCTGATCAAACCAATAATAACAATGAAAAAAACTCAAAATTATTTCAAAGGTGCTAATATACAGCTTTACAAGTCAAGATAACATTCTAAGTACTGTAGAACAAATTTAGTTAACTAAAATTCAACTGGCAGAAGTACTTTAAAATCTCGTAAAAAGGAGTGATCAAACACTCTATCAACAAGAATCACACACGAAAGCTCCTCCACAGAAATTCCAATTCGAGAATGACTTTCATTCATTCAAACCAAATCCTAATCGTAAAACAACACATAATCGGTGCATCTCACAACCACAAAGACAGGCAGTGAAATTAGAGATTAAACGTTGACAAAGACAAATAATGAGTATCAAGTCAATTTATGATACTTAAATGTCAGGATATTGATATACAGTCCAGAAGAAAAGGGGATAGCAGTTACAAAGTTGGTTTAAACATCCAAATTAGTATCAGTATTGTGATTAGAATATTGAAGAGGAATTTCCGGAAGAATTATTCCGTCAGTGTCGCGGGTTCGAATCCGGCTCCGCCTATTTTATAAGCTTTCAAACAATAAGTATGGCTTTTACTATCCGGTACATGAAATATCTTTTCCAGATAGCTGAGATGACTGCTGCGCGCTACTGTCAGTAGTGAAGTGGTATAATAAGGTGAGCAATATTGAGGTGAGGTATCGAGTTCCAGGTAAGGAGGGGAAATCAATCGACGAGGCTGTGAAACTACATCGACATCGATGGGCGATGTTAGTTGACATAGGGTCAGGCTGGTAAGGAGCTAGCGGCTGTCAAACCAAAACATGGCTTCAGCAGTCAATGAAATCCACGACAGTTAGTTTAAGCCAATCACGTGGGAAGATGTAGACTTCCTGACTGGTTGGGGTCCTCGGGACGGTAAACACCAATGCGGGTTGGGAGCAATCGGTGATATGGCTCAAAATCGTTCTCAGTGGCTGGCTGGTGCAGATGCATCCACTCCTTGAGACTTATGATTTCCAATGAAATTATATTGTTCTTCGTTATTACTATTCCTTTGCGTCACACATCTGTTTACTGTCTCTATTACGCATTTCTTCTACTTTCTTCTCTTGCTTTGTGTGCTACATAGAGGAAGTGTGGCGACTTGAACTGCTGCACATCGGTGCAAAGTTCTATGCCGAAAACAGACAGACAGATAACACAGACTTATAAAGAAATTAAGAAATCACTGAATACTAACTAACTCCCATAGACAAGATGAAAATGCTAGCCTCTAATAATTTCAACATGACTTACTTAAATGTAGTTCCATTACATTCATGCAATTTTCTATGCATTTTCATACCACGCGGTGTCTGACCAACATAACCACACGCAGAACAACGTAATTCAGATGTTCCACAAGGTTCCCATTGAGCCAGTGTCAACTGATCAGTCTCATAGTCTATATTCCCCTCTTGACTAGACAATATATTACGATTTGGAGAAGATTTTACATTCAAGGGTGATAATCGATTATTATTATTATTTTTCAAGATATCCCCTTCATCACCACTACTAGAAGTTGATGATGATGAATTGGCTGAGTTTCTTTGACTTGCTGAAACACTTCCAAGTGTTTGAAGTTGACTAGACGAAGCATTTTCAGTTGTAGTTGTTGTTGTTGTAGTCGTGCAACGACGTTTACTGGCTGATGGTCCAGTGTTTGAAGGACAGTTTAGCGAAGTTGGTGAACTAGTGGAAGCCAGTGTATCTGCTGATGCAGTAGAAGTGGTTTTTGTTGTCTGTAGTTGTTTCATGACTTCTTTCCGTCCTTGACAATAAAATTGTTGATGAGCCTAAAATTTGTTCATTGAGATAAAAATGTAGAAATTAAGAATTATTATTTTAAAATTCACAGAACAATATGCCTACAGTGTACTATTAGAATTAGGAATCGTACAAGGTAACAAACCAAAATAACAATCAGTTGCTTTTACGAGTTGATCACGGATTGATATCTGTTAGAGAACCAACAGGGCCAGGCAACAGATCGTTTATAATGGAAATCAACACATATTTATGTATTTTCATATACATTATTATAGATTATTGTTAGCAGAAAAACAAACTCTTCTGATTGGTTGTTTCTCACTGAAAGTTAACTTTGCATCTCTTTGTGACTGTTTCTTGAATGTCAGATCATCTATACGCTAACTGTATCCGCCTACGCAAAGTCTGCTGTGATTGGTTATCGAATCAGTCTTTGTTCACGACCAATATTGAGAATGCAAACTTTGACGTAAATTACTGTCTACCAATTTAGCTAGCAGTCAGTTGTCACCACACCAGGACCTTCCAGTTATCAATCCATGATCAACTCGTAAAAAACAAATCTAATCCTTAGAAACCAATCATAGAAAATCAGCTGATTACTTCAAAGTACTCTTGAAACGACCACCATCAACTTCATTTCGTCCAGAGATACTAACAACAGCACATAAGAACTGTCACTGGACACCAATCCTCCAACATAAAGCAGAAATCTTGAATGCGATCAAGCTACCGACCACTGAAGAGAATTCCCTCTGAAGCACTGAAAACGACTCCACAGATCACAGAGGATATGGTGAAACCAATATCTCAAAAAGTGTGGAGGAAACGAAAGGTACCTAATGATTGGAAGAAAGGTTACCTTGTGAAACAACCAAAGAAGGCAGGTGACTAAGTTCTCGGCGAAAACCAGCGCGAAATCACATTATAGCTCACAGCAAGCAGAATATCAAGGGACTCAGAGATGTTCTGGATGCAGAACTCAGCGCAGAACAAGCTGGATTCAAGAAGGGGAAATCGATTACTGACAAAACTGCGTCATCAGATAAAGTGTAGAATGGCAGTCTAGTCTCCATCTCAATTTCATCGACCCTGTAAAGACCTTCAACAGTGTAAATCGTGATGGAGTGCCCCAAATCTTTATCAACCTCATTCAACAGCTGTCTATATGACAATGCCAAAGAGGAAAACTTGGCGAAGAAGCCCTTGAAGTGAATACAGGAGTAACACCAGAGCTTCATGTCTGCTTATTATCACCGATGATATTCTTAATTGTCGTGGATTAGATTATGCGGAACACTGTACGAGGGAAGCAAGGAGATAGAAATACACTGGACCTGTAAGAATACTCTAACCGATCTGAACTTCACGGACGATTTATATCTCAAGGGGTACATCTCTTCTGCAATCGTTACTGCGTACCGATGAAGGATGTCTTGTAGTGAAGTAGTACTATAAATAACACTGGCTCATTAGGAGATACAACTAATAAACATTTTGAATTTAATAAATTAAGGCTGTCCTTGTTTTAAACTTCATCACTGTTTAAAACTAATTAGAATTTGTGTTATCTATGAGACAACAAGAAATAAACAATTCTTGCTTATCGTAATCCACTTCAATACTTTTTGACAAAGAAATCTTACCATACATTTTATCGATTATTTTAATAATAAAGAAATAAATTATTGCGACGGAATCTTGGTCTATTTTTTAGAAATGTAATATACTGGCATGGTCAGTCTGTGTTATTATCAAAGTAGTGTGCGTGTGTGTGAATTATGCTTAAATTATAAACCAATGAAAGTCTAAGAAGTATTGAATATGGATGAGCATTTGACCAGTAATTTACTCTGATTGGTTTCTAAGTCCCATGCTTGTTATTATTATTATTAATGTTCCCTTGGTTTCCGAGTGCGACTTGGGGCTTCAACAGAACCAACTTACATCAACTCTGACGTAGACGTGATATCCGGGTGGCTGTCGACTAAAGGGCACGTTTTTTGCTCAGCAGTTCGCTGCATCTTCCTTTACTTCTGTGAAACATGGACAATGAAAGTCTAAGGCATCAAAAGGCCAGTTGTCTTAGATCATACGTGTTTGCGTTCAATCTCTCATGTTAAGTGGTATAATAAGGTGAGTAATATTGAGGTTAGGTAGGTGGAAGGGGAAATCAATCGATGAGCTTGTGAAGTTACACCGACTGAGAAAGATCGCATGCCTAACCATTTCACTCCTCGACGATCAGTGCTAGCCGACATAAGATAAGGTTGGAAAAAAGTCAATGGTGGTCAAACCAAAACATGGCTTCACCAGTCAATCAAATCCATAGCAGTTAGTTTCAGCCAGCCAGCCACCCACCCACCCACATAGGGATATGTGGACTGCATGGCTGGTTGCTGTCCTCCGGATGGCAGAAACCAGCGGCTAGAGTGGAGACAATCGGTGATATGGATCAAAATTGATCTCAATGGCTGGCCCAGATGCATTCACTCCTTGTGATTTATCATATCCAATACAACTCTATCGTTCTTTCGTATTACTACTCTTTCTCCCTCTTTTAAACTTCCCTTTACTCTGCTCTCTTGTTTTGTGTGCTATAAGTGGAGAGTGTTGTATCTGGAACTCTTGCACATCTGTGCAAATTTCTATGTTGAAACTAGTCAGTTAGTAAACCAGCTTCAGCAGAACATCTCAGTTCCACTCAATTCTCCGAAGTCTTCTTCTGCTGAAACCACGATTACTCATACACCTTTATCTCATTCATATCACTCTCCAACATACACCCAACTCGTCGTTCCTCACCAGGACGCCCTACCTGGTGCACAATATTATTTGATAGTCTCTTCAATAGCGTGTTGGCTATTAAAAATACTTTCTTTAACAAGCCAATTGTCTGTTCAGCATAAACTTGAAGACTTCTCTAAGTGATATGTGTATGACTGGATGCAATCGATAAGGCCACCACTCGACACATCATTCATCAGTGAAACTAGAGAAACACTAGAGAAGAATAACAATTGTAAAGTTCTTTCTCTGTGATAAAATCAATCCTCTATGTAAAGATAAACACAGGAAGGAAATAAGGGTATGTAAGTAGGTAATTAAAGTTATGAAAAATTACCAAAAGTGAAGCAGAAAATGGCGGGGGTTTAGAAAATGTGAAACTTCACATCACTTATCTATCTACCTACCTACCTACCTACTTACCTACCTGTCTACCTAAGTATAGCTACTTCATTATACCAATAGATAAAGAGAAAGATGGTGATAAGAAAGGTAGATAGAGAGATAGATGGATAGAATGAGAGAAGAGACTGACCAATAAATTATTTTTAGCTTCGCCTTTCATATATGTGTATACATCTTTAAGTGTGTTTTACTCAGAATTTGATGATGATAAAAAAGTATATAGAATACATATACTTATATCGTATATCATCTTGACTTTTTGTGATAAAGTTATTCTATTCAGCAAGCATACTCTATTGGGATTATCAATCTACTTTAAATTGTCATATGTACATAGATATATAGTTCAATATGGTTTCATTTAAAACCAGAGATAAGAAGATATCTCTACTTAACAATCGTGGATGCATTTTAAGTCATCAGAGAACAAGTAAAAGACTGTTTATTTATTTATTATTTATTTTTCGCTGTCTTTCTTATCAGCAAGTTTATTTAATTCATCAAAACTGGTCCCTAGTGTATTATAATGCCTTTTTTGTGGAAAGAATGCAAATATTCACGTGTAAGTAGGCATGTAGTATTTGCGTGTGTGTGTGTGTTTGTGTTTTTTAGAGCAAGTGGAATGAGAAGAAATGAAGTTAGACGTTGCACAAACTTGGCTGCTAACTCATGTCAGGAGTTAGGAGTCAATCACATCTGAAATAGTATTACTAACCAGCCAGGTTAAGAACGTGATCCAACCGAACCGGTTGAGATGAATAAATGAATCGTATACACACATTTAAGTCGTCAACTTTGCTGAAATAAGGTTTAACTCTTAGAGTGTATCTTTCATATTTGGTCCAATATCGCATAAATTCGAAGATTTACGAGCAAAAACCAACAAGTTGGAGAAATACATAGGCAATCAGAGAATACAGAATTTCAAGTGAACATAGTGAAGACAGAAGTGATGGAGATTACCGACCAACAAGAACAACAACGAACACCAGTCACTATCAGTGGAATGAATTTGAAAGAGGTCACTTCCTTCGTTTATGTAGGAAGCAATCCGATAAAGTGATTGGTTCACAGAGTAAGAGCAATCTGCTCGGATGAATGTCTTGATAAGGAATTTAATAATATTAAATGGTCGCTGAATGAAAGTGGCTACCCAGAAAAGTTTATTGATAAGAATATGAATCTAAAATCAAGGCAGCTCAAGGTATCAACAGTTCCAAAACAGGCCTTATTCTTACAAATTCACTTCCTCGAGGACAATATCAGCGAGATATTAACACAATGCCTTAGGAATGCGGTAAAAAGAGTATTCCATGCTGCCGAATTACTCTGTCTTCAAAACCACCCCTATTTTGTGTTCTGGAGTCAAGGATAAACTGTCTAATTTCGCCTCTTCCATGTGTGTGTATCTACCTATTTAGGCCGTACAATTAGGCGTGTTTCTCGTAGGATTTCTGAACATCACCCTGTGTGGTTAAGTGAAGCACAAACAAAATCCATTGGTAGCGCTATTCTGTCGTATCTTGTGGATACTTGTCTTACGGGTAGTATAATTCTCCAAATGTCTGGGGCAGGTGTTGAATCATTCCCATTACACGTGTTTCCAGTTGATTCGATAAACAAAGCTTCCGTCATCAATCTCTCCCTCCAGCCTGCTGTCACATTAGATTTTAAAACTGTCATGTTATCCCATCTCATTCTACTGTTTGGTTGTGTTTAATTGCACGTAGTGAGTGCTATGGCTGAACTATTCTCTAGATTTTTTAAAATCTTATTTGGATCAACTAATCTAGGTTTTGCTGTTAGGTTTTTATGCTCGGCTAGTCTGACTGTC